GCTACTTTATTAAAAACAAGTTTCTTAAGAAGCAGGGAGGAATCTCACAAGTCACCTGCCTCTTTCAGATGAGACAGACTAGACTTTTTAAAGTCATGGTTTAGAGAGGGGTCAATGCAAGCTGACAACAGCAGCTCAGAGCTACACGCAGACTCAGAGGAATTTTCACAGCTGCAAGACAGGCTTTGCATCTCGTTTCTCTTAAAGCTTGAGGAAAGCTAAAGGTGATGTGAAAGACCCAAGAGGAAGGCCCAGGGAACTTCCACATCATCCAACGTACCCAGAGGAGATTTGCATCTGAGAACTGCTGCCTTCAGAAAAGGAAGTCTTGGCAGCAAACGGTCCCACCCCACTCCTGTCCAAAGCAATGAAGAAGCAAGTAATTCTGCTCTTCCAAGCTCTCTGCACAGGAGGCAGCGGCTAGTCACTAATGGCAAGAAAAAGCAACAGGCAAAACTAAAAGCAGCTGGGCTCGCTCCCTACCCACAACTCCAGCTACTCTCCCGGGAGACTCTGGAAGCCTGTAGGAAATTTAAGTCCCTGTTCAAAAAAGAAAAGCTAAAACATAGGTAAAAGAAGAAAGGTTATCTGAAGTGCGCGCGAGCACCAAGGAGCTACTTCTGGAGAAAGCCTCCAGTCTGACAAAGAGATTTCTCCTGATTTTCAGTTTCCCGTGCATGCTTTTGAAATGACAACTCAAATCTGAGTGCTGTTTCCAGATTCATGAAAAGGGATATAAAAAAAAAAAAAGGAAACCAAATCCAAACCTGAGACAACAAACATGCTATTACTTTCAGGAATCTTGATTAATTTGTGCATACTTTTAGTAGAGTTATGAAATGTCAGTGCAGCACCCTACACTGGTGTCAAAAGTGACTCGCTCCAGGGCCATTTTACTCTCATTTGAAGGTTTCATCAACACCAACAATATTTTTTAAGTTACAAAAACATGTTTTTTCTAAGCCTTGAAGTACTTACTTCTTCACACATCAGTACTTACTTCTTCAAAAGCAGTATACTTATTATTTGTACAGCTAGGAAAATCCAACAGCATAGAGTGTCTTGCTCTACCAAATATCTTAATCATTATAACAATAAACATTTTTAAATGTGCTAACTTTAAAGATGATGATAAGAAACTCATGCATAATAATGTAATGGCTGGGGATCTCAGGATATTAGTTAAGAAGAACATAGCAAGAGAGAGGAGAAACCTGTAGCTTTATTTGGTGACAGCACTTGGGCTGCATTGTACTAACTTGGGTCCTTCTCGACCAAGGCCAAATTCTTCATCCTTCTGTACACAGCAAATTAGCTTAGTATCATCTGAGAGCTTCAGCATTTCTTTTGTAGAACTCTGTTTATTGAAGCCTGTCTAGATGTTTGTTCTTAAAAACTTAGGAAATTGTGGTCTACGGAATCTGCTGATAAAAGGTTTATTACATTTAATTAAGGCTGATTTTGCATCCGGGTTGGGTTCTTAAACATAGATGAGCCGTCATATCATTAGCAAATTATATAAAACAATTGACATGCCTTAACATAAAAAGTAAAGGTAATTTGAGTAATCAGTGTGAAAGAAAGGCACAATACATCTCCATAGCCCTTTCAATTTTGCTCCCTCGGGGCAGAATACATTTGTTTCTGTAGCCTCCCTTAACTCTGCATCTTGAAGCTTGCCCACAGCTATGATCCATGAAAACACTGACAGAGTTAACTAAGCACAAAAAGCAAAGTTGTTCACGTTTGCTACTAAAACAATCCATACTCCCATCTGAATGAGGTTCAAAACACCTCAGTTAACTTGTGCCTCAGATAATAAGCTCTAAAAATAGTTTGCCTCTAGAGAGTTTTGACCAAAACAAATTATCCAGTTTAATAAGCATCATTCCCCTTGTTATCCTTAAGATGTTATGCCTGCCAGAGGAACTGGAAACAAAACCAGCAGTTTTATCTTCCTCAAAGCTGCAGAACCTAGTGGCTCCTAACAGAGTTCCAGCTTGGAGGGGTGCAATAGCCCAGAGGCTATGTGGTTTCAGAAATGAAAGCCAGAAAATGGTTAATTAGCTCTTCAAGTAACTTAACATGTAGCACATGTTATAGCCAACAGGGCAGAGGACAATTCCATAAGTTCACCCTCAGCTCCTGTTTGGGGATTATCAGCTGTTTACACTCTTCTCAAAGCACAGGCATTACCAACAGCACCCGTGAAGCTTGCAAGTGATACTGTGAATAACCCCCAGAATGAACCAAAATTGGCAAGTATTGCAAGTAACGGACTGCTGTGAAATTGCTGAATAAACACAAGACGACTGTGACTTTCAATGAGGCTTTTCATTAAAACATCCCTGTTTGAATGCCAACCTGTGTTTCTCCCAAATATTGTTAAAAGCTCACTTAAAATTCCACGTTTCCTCTTCCACTACCAGGATATTGAGGAAACCTGATGTTTTACTCATGTAAAACCCTCACAGAAACATTTGCTATAGGTGTCTTTTCTATGGACCTGATTTCACTATCGGACTTGGGCATCTCACCCAAAACTGGTATCCTCCCTGCTGCTTCTCTACTACCCCATCCTGGAAATCAACCCAGATTTGCAATTACAAGCCACTATGTCCATCTGCTGCAATGTTTCAAAAATTTCACCTTTGTTGACAAAACGAAGTCTTCACCTCCAAGCTTCCTGACTTGCTTATTTTGGCCCAGCTATTACTGCTTACGTTGGAAGTCACACTAATGAAGAAGAACGCTGTTGTGCAGTTAAAGAACGACGCTTATTAAATTAGCATGTTTACCCTGAGAACGTACTCGCTAGTAATTTCCACTTTGCTTGTGCCAGGCAATTACACATCAACATAAATACATACAGTAAAATGCACTGCATAGCGTAAAGCATCTCATACATCGTCAGAAACAGAACACAGTAAAAGCAGATACCTAAGGTCTCACCTTTACACTTATAAATACTGCCATAGATGCACGTTATCGCCACCCGTGAGGGACAAGTCATCAGCTCTCTCCAGAAAGAGCACGGGGAATGACCGAAGTGTGAAGATAAAGAATTACAGGGGAAGTGGAGAGATGCGTTTAATAGAAATGATGTCAAACGAAGCGTACATGGCTATCTGCATATGATTTAAATGCTCACAGGAGGAGGGGGAAGAGAGCTAGATAAATACTGGCCACCATCAGCTACACCCTCCTTAAAGACAGGGGATGCCCATAGCCAATTGTAAGAATTAAATACCATTTGAAGAGACAACAATTATTTTTACAGCAAAGCTTAATAATGCAATAAGCACCAAATATGAAAATATTTTTCTGAACTTGAAATGAATTTCAACTTTCCCGAAAAATAGTACTCACTAAAGATTTCTGCATAAGACTTATCACTAAAGTAATAGTGATAAAAAAGGATTCTTAGAAATAAATACTTTCATTTAGAACGGCTAAACCCCAAATTTCTAAATGCCTAGCTATAATTTTGTTCATCTGTTTGTTTCCACAAGGCCGATGATTTCAGAAAATACAGCTTCTTGCTGGACTCCAGCTACGCACAGATTGCTTAGTTACAACTCCTCTGCTCACAAGAGTATCCTCTCTTTATTATTTATACCCTTACATTGCGTTAGCGGTTTGTGTCACTTTTCTCATTCTTTGGAGCTTAGAGGGACCCACGCTCCAAGAGTTAACAAGTTTCAGCAAGGCGTGCTCACTCCAATACATGTGTTTAAAGCACACAATGAAGCGAGCAACACTCTACTCTAGCAAGCACTTCAGTGCGATTCAACGTCTCTTGCCTTTGATCTTGGACATTTTTGGCTTCTTCAAGAAGAGGCAAGCACAGATCCGTTCTCTTCCCACACTGCTCACTGAAATGAGAGTAAATGAAAATAAAGCTCACCTCCCTCAGCAGCATACTACTAAATGTAAGATTGCAAGTGGGAACGAAGATGTTCGGAGAGCTCAATTAATGGACATCCTAAATCGTGGCAGGAGAGCCACAGGAAACAACAAATAAATAAAAAAATCCCCACACATTTAAGAAATGACTGAGGGGTCCCAAATGTATTCAAAACCGCTTCTATAAAATGAAGCTTATCACCTCAGGAACGTATTTCACGTGTGTTTTGGGCCGCCAACGTGCTGCTCTGCCGGAGGGATGGGGCCAGGACACACGGGCAGGGAAGGGCCGCTGCTGAGCGCACAGACCTGGGCCAGCCCAAGACTAACCTGAAAAGCAACAGTTCTCGAGCAGTAACATCATTGCACAATATGTCCAGCACGTGAAAGAATTACCGGGAGTTAAAAATCATTCCTCGTCCTTTTTTTTTAAACGCTCACCACTAACTTCGTATCAGGGGATGTAAACCTTCCCAGAGTGTTTTCGGATTCACTTTAAAAGTAAAGGAGCCGGATAACGAAGGTCTGAACACCGCAATTTTTCTTTCTCAACACCAATCTGAAAACCCAAAGCTCTTAACCCAAAAGACTGGACATAGCAGGAGAAAACGTATCTGGCCTCGGGTTCCTTTTGTTGTTGTTTATACCCCACGCTAACAACAACTAAAACAGGACAATAATGGAAACATTAAGACTTATACTTTAAGACATATAACCTAAGCGTCTTTGAATATTTTCAACCAGAGGTGCAAAAAATGCATAAAATACACCTAAGCCCAGGAGAAAAAGAGGAAGAAGCACCACTGCACGACAGAGGTGGCAGTCCCGTCAAAGGCGTTTTCCAAATAAAGAGGCGTGATCTTCTGGCCAGATTAGTTTGAGGTTGACTTTAGAAGATGACGATGCCCTGCGTCTCACCAATAAACTTCCTTTCGCATCAAACAAAGAGCCATATCAGTGCATGAGTAACCTCACGAGGAAAAAGCAAACAAGTAGTTACCAATAAAAGCTGTGCCACGCAACTATCAAGACAGTTGCACTGAAAACAAAGTCCACACTAATTATGTTTTATATGAACAGTGAGAGATTTGTGCTTACCTTTCCCCCCGGGCAGTGGAAGCTGGGAACGTGACGTGGATATCGCCGGGTGTCGAGGCCCTGACACCAGGCACGAGGGGCTGCGCGCTCTCCGAGCCCGCCTGCAGGTCAGCAAACGCCTCCGAAGATTTTCGGGTGACCTGGATATACCAGGGATATCAAGGAACCCTGTGGCATGCAATTATGGGGCTGCTGAAGGGTGACTGTGGTGGCACTGGACAAAGCTGTGGCAGGACATGTGGTATTATTTGGTATTATTTGGTTTAGTGGTGTTATCTGCACTTAAAGAAACGGGAGGGACAACCGCACCTCCAAGCTCCAATTCACAGCCCTTACGTATATTATAATGTAACCAGCAGCTGTGCAGATTTCACTGCACCTTCTGCAACCCTGCAGCCTCAAGAAGAGTCTGAAACCTTAATCTGCCTCTACTAATTGTAGCAAATAGACACCAGGTTTTTGAGAAAGAGGGGAGCCTTAGAAAAACAAGCCCCCCCGCCCTCGGAAAATACACCCTGCTCAGACACGTTTTTCAAGATCCAATTTTATAAACCACACCAGGTATCAGCATTTTGATAGTTCAGTTTTTCCTGGCAAGAAGGAGCTGAAAATTGCCCCCATCAGATATTGTCCTAGTCCTGAATGCAAAAATGTTGAAAACCAAGTGTCTCCAACTCCTGCCCAGCTGGCAAAGTGGCATTGTTTGAAATGGTTTTAGCCTTCTGCACTTTAGCAAACAAAAACGTCTTTCTTGGGAGATGTGACTTTATAATTAGGCACTGTAACAAGGACTCTGATTCAATGCCAAGAAAACAATAGACGTCCCAATCCTTCCCACATGAAGGAGCTGAATGCTTTATTTATTCAGGTCACTGTAAGGCAAGCTAAGTTTAAAAGATCAGGCCTATGTTTTTCATGTAGCAAAGCCAAAAAGCACTAAATTTAAATACTGAAAACAGAAGAGACATTGTTCCAATACTTTTTCAGGAGATATTCTTCACCGCTACTCCTTTTTCACAAGACACCTAAACAGCCAACAGGACTGAAATCTAACTTTGTAGCAAAACATCTCTTTCCCTGCTATAAAGAACGCAGAGGAAAACAAGAGCTGGGTGACCAAAAACTCCCTAATCTGACCTCCAATTGCACAAATACTGCAACAACTGGGAAAAGTGCTTATTCTCCCTCCTAGACTTTGTGCACGGGGACGCACGCATACCTTCCCTCTTAAGCGCTTGCACGCGTACCAGCAACCCTTGCAAACCAAGCGTGTGCCACAATTGAACACCTTCACACACACACACAAACAACATCACTTTACACAGTTAATTCGTAAATGTTTTACATGGCACGTTAAACTAACCTTATTCAAGTGCAAAAGCGATGATAAAATTACAGCACGTGTGCATGTGACAGAAGGCACAATATCAAACAACAGAAGTAGCACTGTCATCTTCGTTGCTTGTAGCTTTTCTTTAACTTGCACTGAAAGCATACTTTAGAGATAAGCACCAAAGACTTCCTCCCCAACCCAGGTCAGATATAATGAACTTGTCCTGAAAGAATTTAACTTCACTTTTCAATCATTCTCCAGAAACCCTACAAAGACAAAGCTTTCTGCATGATGGGATAAAGAGAAACAAAAATGAAGCTTCAAAAAACAACTTCCAGTTCTCCCATCAGCAAACTGCAATTCTGTCCTCTCCCGATGCCAGTACAAAGGAGCCGCCGCTCTGCTTATCCTTACAGGACTCGGCTGCTCAGCTCTGGGCAGCCCGTCTTCCATTACCACCTTCTGGTCGTGCAAATAGACATGTATCACAGCGACAGAGATTTGTTGGCTCTTTGGAAGGCAAAGTTAAGTTCAACACTACAGCTTCTCTCTGAGCACCTCGGTAAAAGGCTGACTGGGCAATCGGCAACAGAAAGGGAATACACACAGGCTTTCCTGCCAGTGGAAACCCTACGGATCTCCCTCACCAAGAGATCCTGCTCGCTGCTACTTCCAAACCTAGAAAAGGTAGAAACCCTGAGCGCGGTGGTCAAAACCACCTCAGTCCGACCTGCAGCTTCCCGTTCATTGCCACTTTTGTGCTAGCACCTTTTCCAGTGTAGTAAAAGACATGAAACGTGAGAATCTGAGGAGCCTTGTTCAAGTGCCATCCTTTGCAATGTAGGATTTGACTGAACAACTCCTTAACCTGAAAGCCCAGCACTGAAATCCAGCAAGTTTTCCCCTTACTAATGAATTAGCAGATACATCATTTCAAAGACATGTATTTTGCATATACAAATCTCCTAAGAAGTAGAAGTGTACAACACATTTTGTCGGGTTCACTATTACTACAAAATACATTTCTGTCCTGCAAAGTGACACAGTTCTAATAAAACTTTGACTAAGATTTTGACCTCTTTTGGACCTACACGTTCGTTTTTATTGATTTTTAAAGGAGGTTGCCAAATCCTGTGGTAAAATTCCTTCACCCAATAAAGGTACTGGATAAAATAGGCACAAACAGACAAAACAGACTATGGAAAGTTGAAAGATCAAGAAACGGAGAGGTCAGTAAGCGTTCCTTCATATTTGTCTCCAATGGCAAAGCTCTGTAGACGGTGCCGGCCACTTCCTGCTCAGACAGGAAGGAATTACTTTCATTAAGGTAAATAATTTTTGAAAGTTGAATAAATGCTTGCTTTTAGGACACTTTAACACCTTCCAACCAAAAGATATAAGCAACTGGGATTCAATTCTGGCTATCTTCACAGCCACGAATCCATGCTCTGCCGAGTAAAGTCCTTCCTGCCCTCCACAGCATGTAGCGAGCAACATGATGCCCCACAGTTCCATGAAGTTTCAGAAAACGAAGAGTTTAAATAATTTTAGTAAGCCTATTCTAAATCCCATTTACTATAAAACATACCCACTGTTAAAATACTGATACTACACTAACTTGAATTTCATTATTCCATGTTTTAAGACAGAAGGATATGCTTAAAGATTAATGAAGGCAGTAGAACAGTCTAACAGTCTCAAGTAAAAAAAAGAAAAAGAAAAAGAAAAAGAAAACTGAAGAAGTTCAATTGTCTATGCAAAGACATTCACATCTTTAACTGTCAGTTTAGAAAATTACCCAAGAGTTGCACAGAAATTCTTTTGTTGGTGATATTTAACCAATTTGTACTTGAAGGTTTTGTTTCGTTTAGAAACACCTCAGGTGAAAAAATTCTTCAGCCTGCTCCTCTTTTGCATAAACAAAAAAGCATTTCTCCGTTATTGCCATGACAATGCCAAACCTTTTACAAATGTGTCACCTTAATTACAAAATTGCACTCGTCTTGAACCATCATCTTGCTTTAAAAATCTAGTTTCACAGTCAACATGTAAGAGAGAAACTAATACAGCTTCAAATGGGAAGAAACAGGACACTCCTACACCGGAAGGTAACAACCAGCAAACTCTCAGCTTTTATTTAAGGATGATGTTACAGGCACTGCTATTATAGTGTCAGCCAAGATAACATGAGACCAAAAAAAAACTCACTGGAAACTCCTTTCATAGCCTGTCCTTCCTGTCATCCCCTTCTTACCACTAATAACAACAAGTTTATACGGTGTGACCTACCAAAAAGATGCAGGAAAATGCTGCCAGTGAAGACACGAGCGTGTGTGCGTGTTGGAGAGGACGCAGCCTGGGAAAAGATGACAAATGGCTGTCTACACCCAGGAGAGACGCTAAACATTCATACTAGGATCAAAAAAAGGTCTCTTTACTGCCTCAGTTGAACTTGGGAGATGGCTTTTCGAGATGCTAGCCAAACAACCAATAATCTTTCACAAATATTTGTAGAATAAACCACACTGAGGAGTATTCACACCCGTTTCAAGCAGCTAAGCTGCCTACAGTAGGAGGGTGTTTTAGGCTAAATTTGCCCTCTGAATCAACTCTGAATCATTCCCTGGAAAGGCCTCTCCCTCCGCTGACTACACAAGGAACCTACAGGGATCAGGCTCACAAAACAGGAAATTTAGTAGCAATTTTGGTTGCCAAAGATTAGGTAGGGAATGAATCTTCCCCACTGTCACCTCACACTTCTGGGAGGCAGTTGCTTGAATTACCTTTTTTGGTTGATTTCTTCACAGTTTTAATTCAGCTGGTCCATCAGGCAACCTGGAAAAAAGATCTTTCCCAAGGTTATCTCTGACGCCTTGGATATAAAGATAGCCTAGAACATAAAAGCTCTATGAACTTCGGCTATCCTTATGACTAGACCCTAAGGAATAGCCGAAAGGCCTGCAAGTGTATCAGGATCCATAATGTGGGTTAAAAACACTACTTTCAAATCACGACTGATGCCATTCCAAGCTGAAGAAGAACAAAGTACTACTGTGCGTTAGGACAAGAGCGAGAACAGTGTCTGTCGGAAATTTCACTGAAGTTCTCTCACTGTACTTTGAAAACAAATCCCGTCCTTCAGCTGCTGGGGAAAAAAAAGAAAGAAAGAAAAGAAAAAAAGAAAAAAAAACCCTCCAAATCCAAGCATTTTCCCTCATTTCATGATATAGCATCTGTAGACTTAGCTTCTGCATTTGCAACAGCACAGTCCGGTCGTAAAAGGCTCTTTGCTAGTATTATTTGAGCTCTGTGTTTTCCAGCACTTTAAACCTGACTCTCATCACTAAGCGTTTCCTTATACCAGTGTCACTCTGTACACTATTATTTCTTAAGACTTAGGTACGGCCTGATAAGCTGCTTGCGCAGTAGTTAACCAACTGCTCCAAAACCACGCTCCTGAATCTGTCTTCAGAAGGAAACGGTCCCCAGGAAACGCTGAAAGTTTGCCAAGAACGTAGTCTGCTCACTCAGCATTATATCCAATTTCTGAGCCTGTTTCTACAGTCTGTCCCAAGGGTAGGAGCGAGGTAAAACCTGCAACACGAAATCACTTGTGACACTTTCAGAGCAAGTCCCGAGTAGCGGGAAAACAGGCCCCCAGCGTAGAGACCACCCCGAGATGAGCATCGCACAGAAAAGTCAGCGCTGAAGTCCTCGTGAATGCAAACTAATCCATGCGGCATTTTCAAAGTTATTGCTACAAGACAATCACGTCACTTTGCACGACTGAGATACCGCCAAATTTCA